GGAATCACATGACGGAATCCATATTACTGCTGATTGAACAAAAACTGAAAAACAAATCTAAAATATTAATTTAAATTAACAAAAATAGGAAAAGGTAGGAAGGAAATAATTGATTTCATTTGTACTTATATAAGATATAAGATATTTGACCTGCATTTATTGTTTACTCCGTTGTAGGCTTCATGCTCTATGTCTTGGGACATGTAATATATATCATAAAAGTTTAATGCAAGAAAGATATTTTTTCAAGAATATTATTTTATAAACATTCATGTGCTTATCTATATATCTATATATAAATTCCAAGAATGCAGGTTTAATAATATCTTTCATTCATATATATATACATATATTGCAGAATTGAATAAAATTCAAATTTTAAATACTTGATGTCTATGAAGTTAACTATCTTCTATTTGCGGTCAGGTTAAAGAGAAAACATAAGTGAGTTTTTTAAGTACACGATCGCAGTAATATTTCAACGTATCTATAATAAATCCTATCCTTTTCCACATACAAAACACATACTTTCTGAAAGTGCTTTAAAAAATCTAGATGATCGTTACAGTTTTGATATATTTTACACCTTTCTATAAGATAGAATAACATAAATGAATCAAACAATGCTTATATGAATTATATATATATATTTTTTTTTTCTATAAAATGAAAAAGAAATGATTTGTCAAATAGAGAAAATTCTATTAGATAATTTGCATACGATATATAATAATTTATTATGAATTTGTAAAATAATTTATGGAATCTATTATTTTACATTTATATATGTTTGAAATGTATTTAAATGAATGAGAAGCATATAAATTAAAAATATATATTTATTCTAAAATCGATTATGATATATTGTACAAAGTAAATTATGTTTATTATTTTAATATGTTTGAAAAATAAATTTGCAGTTTCATATCTTAAATTAATGAGATTTATTTTTATGTTTTTTTTTTTAATTTAATTATTGTCATCGCAAAGCCAGTTATCTTATTTTGCAAAATAAAATAATATTCTTGTAACTGCAAAAATAAAAAATAAAGTCATAGTATTCTAGGTAAAAGACGAAAAGATTATTTTTCTTTTGACGTTTAAAAGAAACTCTCAAAAGGTAATCGTGTTTTGTGTGCAAAAGACATTTTGACCCAAAAATAAAATTCATGTTAAGAACATTCAAAATCATGCCTTTCAATTTTATAGATAAATTATTTATGCTTTTTTTGTTTTATCTATTATCATTTCTCATTCCTATTGCAATGGCTTTCAGCACTATAAAAAGTAGCAATTGTGATATTTACTTAATAAAATAGCTGATTATATATATTTGTAAAATTATTATGATTGTATTATCATGATTAAGGAAAGCCCTTGTCTGCAAATATATGAACTTCACACTTTCTTCCGAGTGTTTTCTTTAAAAAATATTCAACCCACGTATATTTGACGAAGTTACATCATTTTCATGATATTTTTTGTTTTCAAAATATATATTTTATTCTATGACAATTTATATTTATTTTTTTAAACAAAGATAAAAGAAAGCTCAATGTGAATGCAATTTTTCTATTTAAAAAAAATGGTTTTATTTTGTGATAATAATTAATAATAATTACATAGTAGCACAAATAGCTACATGGATTTTGGATTTCACACGCAGCTATGATCTAAATTAATATTACAAATATTGTTGTAGAACACATACATATATTGGTACAATTAAATTCAAAAGTGAATTTGAACGATCTTATTATTATTGTAATGTTTACATAATCATCATATATAAATATGCATATATATGATAAAAGATTTAGTAATTGCTTGCTGCCTGTGTCATCCGCATCACCTACAATTTTGACAATGAATATTTATTTATTCTATTATTTCACATTAACTGTCTATGCAAGGCATCAATAACAATGCGTGTAATTATCACCTTATTTTATTTTTACTATATATATATAATATTTATATATGGGACCCCTGTAGTACTACTACTCACGATAGATGATTAATTTCCATTGACTTGAATAATTTATTGCTGTAAATTATGAAGCACTTACATAATACTTTGTTATTTCTATAATGATACAGCTTCATAATTACAAAATACATATAAAATTGTAAATAGCGCGGATATAAAGAAAAGAAAAAGCTTTATAGAAAATTGTAACAATGTAAAGTACAAAATATGTAGATTTTGGATAAATTTCCGAAAATTTCATTTCAATATATAGAATGTGTATCTACTATTTAATTAAATAGAGATATTGTACTTTGCAGTAATTTTTCATTTTTACATGTTATTGATTTAAAAAGCGTGCGCACAGGGGTTCTTTCTATAATCAGTTATTATATTACTATATTTTATCGATAACGTTATATATGTATATGTTACAGAGCACCAATTCTAACGTATATTTAATATTTATATATAGGGTGTCACTTAGTTAATGTAGTATAATTAACATATAAAATAGATTATTTCCAAAGATTTTCTTTTATTTGATTATTTTAAAAATTATTTAAATTTAACATTTGTGCTTGAATATTTTATATTAATATACCAAAGAAGTTTATTATAAACCTAGTTTTTATTATTTTTATTTTATATTTCTTATCTTTTAAAATAAAAGAAATATAATTTTATACAAAGACAAAATTTGAGCACAGCCACGAGATTAATCACAGAGAAATACGGAAACATATCTATCAACACCCTATATATTTTTGTCTATTTATTATATAAAACTTTAATAGATAATTAACTTATACGAGATATATTAGTAGAAATAAATTAAATAATTTACGACATAAATCATCGATATGAAATACTTAATAGAATTGAAAATCGTAAATATGAATTATTCGATGCACGCTAAATATTTACTTGTAACTATATATACTTCTAATAAGTTACACATGCGTATATTGCGCATATAATAATACATTTGAAATTTCTTCTATTGTGAATATATTGATCCCAAAAACTGACTCTTAAATGCTAAGCTTATATAGAAACTTAGCATAGTGTGTCACAGCATTTTTTTTTCTAAAGTAGACATTTTTATAACGTGTTAATTAATTTTAACAATCCACATATAAACTATAACGTTCCATATAAACTTTGATTTTGATAATAATTTAAAGAGTAATTTTTTTAAAATAAGAAAATTGAAACAAGAGACAATTAAATATATATATATATATATTTATATTTATATATTATACTTCGACATAGTTCGCTATTCTTGATTCTATGATGCAAACACACATTATTTTAGTAATAAACAGAAACAATTTAATATTTAATATTTTTTTATTACGAAATTAGAGAATTATTTGATAACGCTTGTATATTTGCCTTTGCTACTAATTAACAAAATTCTTATTATCGTTTATTTTTTATTTTCACTCTATATATAACAAACACTGGTTTTATTATTTTATAATAGCAGAAATATAAAAAAAAAATATGAAAACGATATACGTACGTGTCAAATTATAATAATATTGACGAATTCAAAATATATCGAGCTATATATTTGTATTTTTTCATCTATAAAAATTATAATCCTCAACTTAGGAAGCTGGAGAATTTATCACAGCTGAAATTAGGAAATTTGATGGTATACTCATCAATGATAGACAAAAAGCAAAATCGATATTGTCAATAATTTCTTTATTTATACATATCTCTGTTTAGGAATTACGAAATTGTGAATTTGTTTGGTATTTGGTTGTATTTTTTTTTTCTTTTCTTTTTTTTCTTTTTCCTTTCAACATATATTATGCATTATTAAAAGCAGTAACAGCATTACTTGATTTGTATCAATTTTTTGTGATAGGAATCCGGATAAATTTATTTTCAAATAATAGACAAAAATATAAGCTCAATTGTTGTGCAAAAAGTAGTGTGTATAAGGATAACAATGTAAAGCAAATGCTTTTGTTTTTAAATAGCTCATTAATTATTTTTTTTTTTATTTCTACAGAATGGAACTCTATAGAATATTATAGTATTTATTTACAAACTATATAATGTAAAGTTTTGTTATATATATATTTTGTTACGTGACAAAAGGAAGAAAGTGCATAGCAAAATAGTGTCAGGTCATATTTATCTCACTATTTAAGTAGTGGGTGATATATTGATGCAACTTTCAAGCAAAATATTCATTCAGCAATATTTTGCAATTCTGTACCACTTGATAGCAATTTTTTTTTCTCTTGCGTATTAAAGATTCTGAAATTCAGCTATCACTTGTACACTGCCATCAATTTTTATTAGTTCACACTATATCATTCTAATAGTGTAACGTTCACCGATGTACAGCAAATTACACTACAATGAAATTGCAGCGAATTTATAACGTTATTCACAATGGTAATAATGACATAAACCAGTTAGTCCATCAGTCTTTCTCTCATTTCGATTATCTGTCATGGATCATTTCTTTATACTCGTAAAATATACATTCGCATTTGTATTTTTGTGTCTGTGGTGGTAAATACTTTCTTCAAAACAAAGAAATACAATTTTTATATGTAATATATTTGTTATTAATTGCTCTATGATCTACATTACACATAAGATAATTAACTGATATGATATAATAAGATTAAAATATTTGGACCTCTTTCTGTGACGTTCAATATTACTAAATTTATATTGAAATATTTTTTTTAGAATAATTATTTTCTCGATAAAAATTATCATATACAGTAAATACTTTAATAACATTTGTAAGTGAACTTTTTTTTATTATTGCATCGGTGGATTTATATCAACTATTATAATATTAATTAACGCTACCTTAATAATGGTGATATATAATCGTTAAATAATTAAATTTTGTGACTTGTAACTATAAACTTATTATGGACTCAATATTAAATTTGGAATTATCTCTCATATTGAATAAGTCCATTCTAAAATAACATAATACGTTAAGACCAACCACAGACACACTGAAGACAGCATTTTCTTTTATCATATTATTCAATTCTTAAGTCCTCATTTAGTGTTTATTAAGATGAGTGTTTAAGCAGAGCTACATGGAAAAGTGTTCATATACATGTCTCGACACCTTACGTTAAATGTCCATGACTGTAATATCGTTTCATAGTATGGTTCAATAACATTAGGATATACGTTCCTTCAATCATTTTTCCTAAAGTCTTTTTTTTTTTTTTCAAAGAAAAAATGGGACTTTATTTTACAAGGAATAATAATTGTATCCGTCGTACAAGATGAAACTCCATTCCAATGATTTTAAACAAAATTTAAATATACAAATAATGTAAGAAAAAAATATATTTATAAATAATACTTAATATATTTTTTTTTACTAATTTGATTAATAGTCTTTTGGAGAAAAATACTTGCTATTATGCAGATAATAGCATAATAAATAAATAAATCAAATCATTTTTACCAATTAAACAACTTCAAATAGATGCATTTTATATCAATTAAATCAATAATAATAATGCATCTAATTAAATATATAAACACGAACAATTATATTTGCGTACATATGATGTTATTGCTCCAACAATGCAGCATTTGTAAATGGCTCCAATCGTTGATTATTGTAATCAATTTTGCATCATCATCACTGGGTTCATTAAATTTAAGTATACCACCCTAAAATCAATTCCATTTGAATACTTAAACTTATTTCAAATATTATTAAGAAAAACAGCTGGTATCGCATTCGTAAAATAAATAAAATACTATAATTAAAAAATAAATTAAAACAAATAACAAATATATTAAATATTATATGTGCCTTCAAAAATAATGTAATTTTATTTACATGTATAAATTAGAAAGTATTATATGTGTTTTCTATTTAAAAAAATATATTATTTTCATTGAAACGAGATAAATTTACTTATAAATTATAAGAATCTTATTTAAAAGAATTTTATATATTCTTAGAATAATTATAAAGATTAAAAAATGTCTTCATATAACTTACAATGCTACTTCATGGCGAGCGTTTGTTTAAGGTGGCGCATGAGGTGACTCCCAACATCATGCACCTCTGGCCATTGTTTGAGCACGAACACTATACCCAATACAACGAGCGTGGTCGTTAGTATGCGCACCCTGCACATGAAACAATGAGGCTTAGTACAGCTGTAACAAACGCGTGAAAGTAAAACTAAACAATTAATGAGTAAAATTAAATTTTCATGTATCTATGATGTCCATGTTATCTTAAAATAATATTAATTAAATAACGATCCTCCTATACGTATATATAAATACATCTAACAACTCATTTATGACAATATATTCAAAACAACAAGAGGATTAATTAATATCTACTATCGCAATACAATATTTGACATATCTTACAATTAATAGTCATGAACATATATGATTTTTTACATGAGAAAATGATTCATGAAGTAACTAACTAAAAATGAATATAAAAGAATATGCGTTAGGTAAATATTGATAATAAATGATATTACCTGGTTCTAAGGAATGGCACCATAATACCAGCACCTGTTGCAACAAGTAGTAAAATAACTTGCAGTACTGTTAACACTATATTTATCAACTTGACGACCAATGCTCTTGCATTACTATTGTCAAGACCTTCTAACGTAACATACTGTTGGTGTTGTTGCTGTTGATGTTCCATCTTACATATTTTCGTTTGACAACTTTCTAACATTTCATGTATGTCCCTTAAACGATCTTCACTTTGATATTGTACTTTTTCTTCCATATCTGTAATTGTTTGTTTCAAATTTTCTACTTCATTCTGATGAAGTTCGGTCAAATCGTTGATTTGTTCTTCGAGACGTTCGCATCGAAAACGTTCTTCTTGTAGACCATGTGATAAGTATGTTACTTCTTGTTGCAAAGCCTAAATAAAAATACTAGTTCATACAATTTTTTTCTAACTTCTATAATAGAAATAATAAAACCTAGTTGCTATTGAAATTAGATCCCCATACCCAAACCCCCAATTTGCATATATAGTTTATGTATGATAAACGAACCTTTAAGCCATCTAATTTTTCCCTCATTCGTTCAAGACTATCTCTGTGTTCTTGAAGTTCCGAGAAGACAGTTTTGAAACTAAACGCAGCATTATTACTGTGACAAGTATGGGCTTGGCCTCTACTACCTGGTCCACTTTCACTTGTTACACTAGAGCATTCTGAACCTTCTTCCGATGGAAATTTCATTGCCACAGCACTGTGCGTAGATCCAAGACTACAGCCACCAGGTAAAGTAGCTGATCCATGATGAGTTTTTTCTTCTTCAACACTACCGTTATCACCATTACCTGCATGTGGTGTATCGTTTACATAAAAAGTTGAGCCATCTGCAGAGACATAGATTTTGCAAGTTAGATCGTTATCCAATACCAAAATATATACTCTACTAACAACTAACGCTAGTTGTTGCCGTCTTTCTATTCTGTTTAAATATTATTAAAGTATTTTTATTAACAAAACAAATATATAACAGAAATAGAAATATATGCTAATGTGAGTTAGAGTAAGAAATTTTGTTTACATGTAAATATAAATAATATTACAATATTATTCACGAACAATCGTTAAGACCTCATTTTTTAATAGTATTGGATAACTACTATTAGACAAAGCATCATAGAAATGTACAATTAATACAAGCAACCAATCACCTTAGAACAAATTATCATTAAATAAATAGACAAAATGAAAAATATAAGTAATAATTGCAAAGTTGATATTTATTTAATATACAAAAGCTTTATAGAACTCGGTGAATTATTTAAAAAAAAAAAATTATAAAAAATACAGTGTATGATATCTATACAAATATATTTTTTGTAATAACTTTGAACATATATTCGTATGATCACAAAATATTGAACGTAACTAAATACAAGAACACGTTTCACATATGAACATAAAATTAATATTGAAATTAACAGAAAAGTTTGTATATACAGAATATAAAAACGTGGAATAGATAGACGCAAAGTGAAGTTTGTTTTGTGACACATTACTTACTACTCTCAACTGCCATGATAGCGCAACATATTAAAAAAAAAAAAACATTTATTTTTAAATATAAATGCAGAATAATCCACATAGAAATATGACAAGAAAATCAACTCTTTCTTTAAATATATCATGGAAATTTTAATATACTCAAATTTACTTTTGCATAAAGTTAAATCAGACAATATAGTGCGACACTTAGAATAATTATATATTTAATATAATAAAGCATACATATTTATATTAATAATTGAATTTTTAGACTATAAATATATAGTCTACGAAAGTGCACAGTACCAGATAAATTAAACTTTATCAAATATCATATTGTCAAAGTGGTGCGTATTCTACATAACTACTATATCCAATTGCATTCTAATTTTAATTTAAAGCTGAACAAATATTATATAATTTTAAATTGACAATACAATTTGTAGCAATATTTTGATAATATATAATAAAGTATAATAAAATATGTACTATAAATATTACTCACGTGATAATGTGTTTATATTGTCAGCACTTCCAAATTTATTTTTAATAAGATGTGCAAACTCCCTTGGCTTTGACATGACACTCCTAAAATAGAATAGTCAATAATTAATGATAATCTAATAGTAAACAACTACACTTGCTGTACTTTACAATGTTACATCTATTACACAAATCATAATTTTATATAAATTACATAAAAACTAAGGTATGATATTTTATAAATACTTTATATCTACATGTGAATGCATATATAAAATACAAATATATTTTAAAATATAGAACTTGGAAAATAGAAGCAGTTTAGGACATGTATTAAATTGAAATTATAAATCCTTATTTTAAATAAACATACTTTCAATAATACTCAATGACAAGTTTGATATTAGATAAATTTTTTAACAAGCTTTTCTAACCTCAATCGTATATACTATAATTTTAATCTTTTATTACTTAATGATAAATAACGTTCGTATAAGATGAAATATTAATTAAATAAATTAATATATAATGGATATTGAATATAGTTGAATCACAATCTATTTTTATCATAACACTCACCCTGAAAAACCAGTGATTCCGTCCCTAATATTGCCACCCACATTTCTGGAAGGGAGTCTCAAATTAGAAGAAAAAATCACTCTCTATACTTAGCAATGAGTGTAGAGAACAGAGAAAATAAAAGGTGAAGACCAACATACACCATATCATAGAAGAATCGAATTGACATGAGTTTAATTTGTGCAAAGTCCTTTTGCATGTTAGCAAGAAACTATGTAATAGATCATGCAACGTGCATGGTGATGTTCATGTATATACAAAACATGCTATGTTAAGAAAATAATATCTGTTATATGAAAAATACCATAACTCGTTATTTATTTTAAGTATAAAGATAAATCAAAATCTATTTATAAAAACTACTTATACTTCTAAACTAATACAAATTAAATTAACACGCAAATGTAAATATTAAAGTTAAGTACACCTACTTTAATCCTTGTCCCATATCACGAAGTACTTCTCTTGGTTGTCTATGACCTACAGGTGCACCATTCATTTCATAACTTTTTAGTCTTTTTTGATAACTATCCAACTTTTTTTGTAACTGGGAAATACTATTTGCTGATTTTTGATTTTTCTTTTCAAATACCGTTTTAATTCTAGTTAATTGTTGTTTATCTGCATTCGCAGCTAATTTTAAATATTCGTTAACATTTTCTACAAAGAAGAAAGATAATGATATTAATTTCATTAAATTCAACATTATAGTAATATAATAGTAGGGAAGAAGATAATTTACCATCACGAGTTGTTTGTTCGGTACGTATGAGTTCACGTGTTCTGGCTATTTTACTTTGAATATGTTCGATCGCTTGTCGAACTCGTGAAGCGCTTGAGTCCACATCATCACTTATTAATTCAGAAGAACCATTTGATAGGAACGATTGTATGGTATGATATTGTTCCTACAAATAAACAATATATAAAGTTAAATGCAGTTTATAAGGAAAATTTCATTCTTGATATTAATTAAGATTTTGAATTTTATGACAAATTCATTTATAGCAATATACAAATAATTGCTTCATTCTTTAATAGACTACATTGTTATAAATGATAACCTTGCAATCTTATACCAGAACGGATGCAAGTACGATAGTGTTTTATCGCAATGTGTATCGATGTAAAAATATCATTTCTATTATATAACAAAAAATATAATATAAATGTTCAAATAACATTAAAAATATATTAACTTATTTATCAAAGAAAATTTATTTAGCATAATACATACTCCTTCATCATCGGTTGGAGGTTGAACATTTGGCACAAACTCATCTGGTTCGGCAGTGATTGGATTACCGTTTGATTCATCCATAGCATCCCCCATGCGAATTAAAGTACCTGGTGATCTTTGTCTGCTGCTGCCTTTCATGCTGAAGCTACTCCCACAACCACCACAGCTGCTACCACTGCCTGTGCTACCTTCTCCTGTCTGATAGCTAAAAAGAAGAAAAAGATTGATGTTACATTCCATTCCAAATATTACACAAATTCATTACTTATAATTAGATTACAAATTATAAACTTACATTGGAGCATTACGTGCTTTTGGTGTATGTTCCAAACTAGATGATTGTTGGTAATGCGCTTGAGATAAAGATGTATTCCCTCTAGTAGGAGAAGTGCTACGTGAGCTGTTCTTACTTGACGAAGTCACCATCAAGCTAGCCATTTCTTTCTTCTAATAAGGTTTATTATTAGGATATCGGACAAATGCCACATGTTGCACTGAATCTGTAGTCACATAAACTTTCAATTAGACATGTTTTTTTATCAGATGATTTCTAGGTATGATAAGAAACACTCTTAATAAAAATCAACAACACCTGTATAAGACAAATATATAAATACATAAAAAAGATTAATATACAAGATGAATCATTCCTTTAAAATAATCTGTCAATTCTATCTAAATAGTAATAAATAAAAATATATTAAAAGATAAATTTATAAATGAATATATATCTTTAGTGATAAGAAATCTTATGATTATTATATTCATTTTTATCAATATGAAAGAAAAATAAAACAGAAATAAATTATACTAGTAATGTTTAATAAAAAAAATTTACTATAATAATATAAATCTATTACCATAATAAAATTATACAAGAGTTTTCTAGTAATAAATAGTTTAGAACAACCTTTGACCTAATGCAACTGAAGAGTCATTGTGATTATCATAATACGAGAACAAGCTGTAGAACGTATCTCATAAAAATAATTCCACTGATCGGTCAATAAAACAAAGAAAGAAGGATAATAAATTATGTAGTAATAAAATAAAACATTTTCAAAGAAATTATCATCAAATAAAATTATAATTGTAACGTTAAACTGATATATACTTAATTACGTACATTTAGATATATATCGATACATTAATATTCACACATATAAATTTAATATTAATCATTAACAACAAATAGGATATATGTAAATGGTAACAAATGACTTTTCAAATTACCATTTCTCTTATGTAAAAGATAAAACTTTTCAATCAAAAATAGAATTGGCTTAAGATCCTTCCTGGTTTGTTATATGGAATAACACAGAAGAATAAGAAGAAGAAGCAAGAAATATTACGAATATTCGTAAACTTTGAAGTTCGTTATTAACTTTCTTTCGATCGTCAAAGCGTCGAAAATGGAGCCACATAAGTAGAATTTCAGATATTTTCACTAACTTATGGGACGTGAAGAAATCGCCACAGTCTTACTGCGGACATGTAAAACAGAATATTATTAGTTGATACGTTCCTTTAAATCTATAGCGACACTATCGTCCCACCCTTTATACACGGCTTCATTAAAAAAGCAGGACGATTTTCAAATAAAAACAAACTTTTGACCTGTCAAGTCGCACGCCCGACTTTTACACACATACAAATGCACTCATACGCACGTTCTCTTTCTCTTTCTGCTCCCTTTTCCATTTTCTCTTTTTCTCTCTTTCTTTCTTCCTTTCTCTCTCTCTCTCTCTTTCTCTCTTTTTCTCTCTTCTATCACCATTTCATTCTCTTCCAATTTTGAACGAATACGATTAAAAATTAAAAATCTATCGATAACACTAACTCACCTTCTTTTATTTTATAATGCACGTTTTACGCGGTTGTAGTATGTTATCATTTTTAATTTGACATAACGTGTCACAAAACGAGAAATATCGATAATGATACAGTTTAGTTTTATAATCGCGAGTAATTTTTTGCGTGTTTTTTTCCTTGTTGGTGTTGTTCTATTTATCTCTTTTCCTCTGTCCGTGTCTTTTTATCTTCTTCTCACTGAATTAATAATCAAAGAATCATACTCATATACGTGATAACTTTCCACGGGTGTGTCATTGTCGCGATTCGTCACTTCTTCTTTTTCTTTTTCTTTTTCTTCACATACAACGACAACGTCGTTAACGATATCGTCGAGAGCTTTTCAACGAGTTGTTCGATCGTATATGATATCGACGCTACTAAACTCATTCAGTATCTTTCGACTGCACGAAGTAACGCGGTGTACACGATTGCATATGCATTTGGATTGTGTATGTGGAGTGTGTACGTAAGTACTTACGTACACACAACCACCATCTTCACCAGTACACAGATACAAGTTATATTGGACATGTAGTATGTCAGGTTCGTCGAAAGTGTCTCATTTCGCGGTGTAATACGTCGAACCACAGAATGACAAGTGCTGGGAATAGAAGAGGATGAGAGATTTCTACGTAGGGTCGACGCGTCGATGAATATCTCGAATTCTAGGGATAATGGCTACTGTTACTAGGGACACTAACAATAAGTTATGCGTTTACCGCAGAATACGTCAGTGTTGTGTATGTATTTCATTCCATCGTCGTTCTATTATTTACAAACATTGCTTGAAATTATAGAATTTTCTTTGCTCTCTCTCTCTTTTTTTTAATTTTATCAAAATACATAGCGTTCATTGAGGTTAGAATATATACGTGAATAGTCTGTATTTAAATCTAACATGAAGAGAATCATTTTTTCGGTCTAACTAAAAGAAGTGTTTTTATTTATTTCATTAAATAACTCCTGTTCCACAAAAGTAATTGAAATTGTTTAAATAAAACATAAACTATATTAATTTATTCATCAATATTTATTTTATATCCCCATTATGCCAGCGATTTTTTCACTCTTCAAAAACTCCTGAGAACACACTTTTCAGTATAAACTTGATAACATGCAATGAATTTGTTTTTAAGGTTTTCTGCAACATTTAACGTTCTTGTTGCGTTTATTTCGTTCATGACAAAAGTTAATACAATTTTTGGATTGTTACTTTACAGTAGCTGTGTAAAAATACTTCTTACACAACTACTGTAAACAAATTACCAATGATCGTAGCGACATGAAATTTGGTACAAATGTCATTTAAAGTTGTACCAACTTACATACAAAATTTAGCTGTCATACAGTGAGGACATGTTATTTAAATTTTTTAATTCCTATTATTTTAAGAACAGAAAATTTTTTTATTGTTAAAAATACTCTTTATATAAAAACTTATTACAAAAGGGATTATTTCTTAAAAGATCATGATTAATTATCTAAAGCTATTATTTATATTTACAAGATTATAATTATTGAAAAATCAAACGTTATATACATAAAACTAGTAAGTAAGAATAAAATATAAATTAAATGATAGTTTTATAAATATGAGAAAAAAATTTCTTTGCATGTTCGTTAATAATCACACTGTCTCTTATGACATACAGCTTACAAAGATAGCAATGTTTCGTTTTTCAAGATATACTCTTCCATGGAAAACGTATCGTATAATTAACGTAATAATTACGGTACTGTCCTTGTAAATTGTATGAACTTCATCAATCTTCGAGGACAAATTTCATGTTCTGTTTTTTTTTTCTTTATCTTTTAGATGTCCATGCGCGATACTTTTTTTCTAGAAGTAGCTTTTTATATCGTGTCAGGTAACATTCCTAGCATATAATTATATTATTTTATAAGAAGGTAAAACGCAACTATTTACGTAACATAAATGAATACGTTCTTTAAAATATATCCTGCGTCACACTCTCAACTTAATTTTTCCAATTTTTCCAATTTTTCTAACAACAAATTGCCAAATGAATTTCTATATCGTAAACTAATTGAATTCAATAAACTGTAAAATGTTTCAAAATATTCATTTCCCTTATTTGTAGAATCGTCATATTTGTTTCCAACGATGGTAAAACCTGCACTGGATAATTCGATGCAAAACGTTAAGTTTTCCAGCGTTGTTAAATTTAGATAGATAACTTGATTAGTATTGCACAATCTGTCGGATATTTTTACGTCAATCACGTGATCCTTGATATCATTAATGACAGCCTGTGCTTCTAGTTTCCATTGTTCTTCGTCCAACAATTTATCCTCGTCATTCTTCATATTTATTGTTTTTCAAAACTTGATTGTTTCATTTATTTATATATCTTGATATTCGTCGGTAAGAGAATTTTCAATTTTTATTAACAAATTTAACAGTGACACAATTCAATTTTTGGCAACGAAAAAAGGAAGATAGTTTAGTGCCAAAATCGTGTTTTTTATCACACGATGCAACACGTGTATAGGTTAGATTCAGGGTCAAAGACCATGATCGACTAACGCGTGAATTTACATTTGTCCGATTATTTCTTTTTAAAAGGTGGCTACAGTGCTATAATTTGTGCTCTCAAAAACCTGGTGAAATCTTCGACTGATTTACTACCCTTGACATTGCAACTATTTTATTTAGAATATTGTAATAATGATTTATATATTACGTACCTTTATATGCATATATGTGTGTGTACTAAACTACTAAATCTATATACATTTCTATACATGATGTCTTCTTTTATTATATATCGCGTAGCCATGGTTACTATACGTCAAATATTATGACGTAAATACATCATATATATACGTGTACATATATGCATAAGCAATGTAAATTATCTGGTAATCGAACTTAAGTCAAAGACTATCTTTATAAATTTAATGTAACGAGTGATAACAGGACTTAATAAAATTTTTTCATTTAGAATGACGTCGCTTAAAGAAGAAAATTTAAAACACTTCAAATAAAATCGATTTTTTGCGAGGTTATACTATTTTTCTGACAATTATTTTCGACAATTATTATACAAATGTATAAGAAAAATGTAATACTTCAGAATGAAAAATAAATATACGATGTTTTATTAATTTGAATGTAATTAATATTTACGTCAATAGTATGGTTGTAATAATTTATAATCTAGCTGACTAAGATCTGCGATCAAAGTTCAATTATATAACGCACGTTTTTCCAACTATTATTTAAAATAGTTTAATCCTTTTTTTCTTATTCGTTTTTATATCTTTCAATATTGCTGTATTTGAATATACCGCCAAATAATTGATCGAAAAAGCATATTAATCGAACACACCCTCGATTTTGTAGTATGTCAGTGACGTCCTCATTTGTCACCCTTGTTAGTTTGTATATATGCCACGTTGAAGAGTAGGTCGCTTCGATCGCTTACTCTGCCACGTAATGTTGTGTGTGCCGTTTATTAGTTATACTTGTGAAAAGATTTACGTAAAATTAATCGTCAATGTTTTCGATGTGCAAGCGTATATCGGAGAAAATATAAGATCAGTCGATCTTTTTTGTGAAAAGCTCACTAAGAAGGTAAGCCAAAAAATTGTCGATCAAAATGTGTAATAAATCAAAGGTTGTCCGTCAGCACCTAAACTCGTTTTTTACTAGATGACGTTTAACCTTTCAAGCGCGTGCTCCAAAGCTTATCTGCAAGTTTGTCTTTGTCTCAACTAATAAAATCATAATTATACAAAGAATTTTGTTTAAGTCAAATGTTAAAAATTCACGTAGGAATGATTAATCCTTCTCGTGGACATTTTTAATTTCGAACTGTCAGAATTATTGTAAGGTCAGCTGATGACATGGTGCTTTGATGACCCCCGAACATTATTTTGCTTTTATTTTTCATTAAGTCTCGATTCCATTGCTAAATATGACGATATTTTTGATTTCGTTTTTCTTTATTTCAAACATACGTCGATAACAATTATCTTCTATCTGCCTCCTTTTTTTTATTGGTCGATCAGTAGACGTTCGATTTACTATTTTCTTCTAGATAAATGAGTTTCATTATACTTTTTAAACTTTAATCCTTTCTTTTTATAATTATGAAGTATAATTATATAAAGAGAAATTCATATTTAACATATATCTTTATATAATTATGTATTATTAATTTTAAACGATGTTTCATTTATTGTGATTGTGCTGAAATAACTTTTTTGTAATTTTTTAATGGTAGTAATTGTAAGTATAAAATGTATTGTATTAATTAAAAAGAAAAATATATATGAGACTCCTTTTATTTAACAAACAATTTACTTTTCATTTCATTTTTTTATATAACGATTTAATAGTGTAAATCTGTAATGGTGTTAACGAAAGGTGTATTGTTTTATTTCCTTTATTTTATGTAAAACATCCTATTGTACTTCTTTCACCTTATTTCAGTGATTTGTAAAGAAAAAACATGGCTTACCCAGATGGTTATCAGTATCAATCGTACATAGATCCTAATAATTCCTTAAAAACTGAACGTGTACCAATAGTAAATGGTCAATCAACTGTTAATCAACATATACAAAACGGCATGCAATCACCACATTCTAATCTCACTGGTATGCATATAGCAACCATAGATGTGAAGCTTATGTTTTAAAAAAAAATCATTAGTAGTTTATTTGTGTATATTATTTAATAATTTTTAGGTACACCGTCATCGCAATCATCTCGTGATCCATCAAGAGAAACATCGAGAGATCCATCTCCAACTCAATATCTACACAATCAGTATAGACCACAATTACCAAGACCTCCTATGCCACCAATTAATGGACAGCAAAATATGCATCTGAATGTTAGGCCTCCTTTACCAAATGTCACGCAAACACAACAATATAATCCTACCACAACTCTTTACTCTTCTAACCAATTCAATACTAGTGCCACAAATATTCCTCCCCCGAATAATGCAGGCAATGTTTCTTCTGCATTTGTTAGTTTGCCTTCAAATGTACAAGAAAATCAAGATATTAATTCACATAGCATGCCTTCAATTAAACCACAACAAATTCAACACGTTCTTCAAAATCCAAATATGTCTGCGTCAAGAAACATTGCAGGAAGTCAGGATAATTTGCCATCACAATCACGAGTTCAATCTCTACATTCATTACAGTCAACAGTACAAAATCAGACATTTGGCAGTCACACAGATTTACTTGGGCAGGGATCAAATTCTCAACAGAGTCATAATACGTATGGTAGTCAACCAAATTTAACTGGCCAAAGAAATTATGCTCAAAATTATTATGGAACGCAAATGCCATCAAGCACTGCCAATCTTTCAAGCCCTATAATGACACCTCCAAGATTTAGTGCACCTCCTAATAATCCTGGTCTGACTTCTATGAGGCCGCCAATGACTATGCCACCCCCTACAGGACAGCAATTGGTATGAACTATGATCATATATATTTAATTTGTTTATAAATTACACTTATTTAGTTTATTTTTATACTATTACATTTTGTATTTATTAGCAGGGTAAATATGATAAGCAGCCACCATATCCAGGACAATTATCTAATATTTCTCTAGATCCTATGTCTGCAAGATATCCTGGATCATATCCTGATCAAATGAATCAACTAAATAGACAAATGAATACAATGTCAGTTACACAGGCTGGTTATAATAAAATATGGGTAAGTTAGCTAGATTTCAGACACTTTTGTTTCATAAGTGACTGTCAACTGTATTAATTGTATTTTTTAGGGCATGGAAACCGTTGACTTATTACAATGTAGAAATATTTTACCTCCTGAGAAAATAGAGCCACCGAAAGTTAGATTACATCAAGAATTTTTGGATGGTGTTAATTGCAATCCAGAGTGAGTATATAAAACTTTAAAAATATATAATTACTATTATTACGTATCTATCGTTTTTGTTATAGCATATTTCGATGTACTTTGACAAAGATTCCTGAGAATAATTCATTGCTGCAAAAAGCCAAGTTACCTCTTGGAATTTTAATACATCCTTTCAAAGATTTAAACGTAAGTTATATGATACAATGATATTTTCATAACTTCAATGATATAATAAATAATGAAATTTCTTTTTATAGCAATTACCCGTAATTCAGTGTAGTACAATTGTACGTTGTCGTGTTTGTAGAACATATATCAATCCATTTGTATATTTTGTTGATTCCAAGAGATGGAAATGTAATTTGTGCTATAGAGTAAATGACCGTAAGTAATAAACATTATTTACAGACAATATTTAAATAATAAAAGTTAATCCATTCTAACATTAAATGTATTTCTGTTTAATTTATTATAATAATGTGTATAAAACAGTTCCAGGAGAATTTCAATTTGATCCAATAACTCAATCTTATGGGGACCCATCCAGAAGGCCAGAAGTCAAAACAAGCACCATTGAATTTATTGCATCTAGTGAATATATGGTATTTTACAACTACTATTCATATTGTTAATAATATACTTACACTTTAATAGTGTAAAAATGTACTTTTATTATACTTATAAAGAGATGAGAAGGCTTGTTTTCTGATTTGGGATGAGATTTAGTATATTAGTAGTATATTTTTAGGGTATTCATTCATTAAAATATGAAAAAATATTTTGTCGTCTTGCACAATTTATAAATGACAATTGTTTATTGGAGTAAGATTTTTTAAAGAGATCTGTTGGAAAACAAACTTCACTTTACTCTTGTAAACAATCGTCGTTTATAAATACTACTTATATACCAAATATCATCCTAAATTTTAGAAAACAAGCTTTCTCGTCTCTTTGTTATTCTTTTTCTTAATTTTTATTGTAGCTCCGTCCCCCACAGCCAGCAGTTTATCTTTTTATACTGGATGTTTCAAGACTTGCAGTAGAAAGTGGTTATCTCACTGTAGTATGTAATACGATAACTGATGAATTATCAAGATTACCAGGTGATGGAAGAACGCAAATTGGATTTTTGGCAGTGGATTCAACAATACATTTTTTCAGTATGCCTGACAATGTATCACAGCCCCATGAAATGATTATGTTAGATGTGGATGGTAAGACATTTAAATAATTTATATAAATATTTATCGAATGATCAAAATTGTGATCTAAAAATATATGATGATATATTTTCAGATGTTTTCCTTCCGTGTCCAGATAATTTAATAGTTAATCTTAAAGAACGGGAAGAATTAATAAAAGACTTATTAGCCCAATTACCAACTAAATTTCAGGGTACTCATGATACGAATAGTGCATTAGGGGCTGCTTTACAAGTAGCTTACAAATTGGTGGTATATTTTTTTAATATATACTAGTAATATAAATTATATTTCTTTACGATCGTTTATATACATATAATATTTGTTTGTTTATTATTATATTAGTCACCTACTGGAGGAAGAATGACTGTATTTCAAACATGTTTACCAAATATGGGACCTGGAGCCCTACAACCGAGAGAAGATCCAAATGGTAGAGCTAATAAAGATGTACCTCATTTAAATCCAGCAACTGATTTTTATAAAAGATTAGCATTAGACTGCAGTGGGCAACAGATTGCAGTTGATTTGTTTTTATTAAATAGTCAATACAGCGACTTAGCGACGCTTTGTACGTATATAATTAAAAATACAATAAATTAATTTACTTTTATATCGATTATTAATAAACAATAATTATATTTTTTAGCTGGTATGTGCAAATTTTCTGGTGGTTGTATATATCATTTACCACTGTTTCGTTCATCGAAGATACAACATATAGAAACATTGGAACGAATGTTACGACGTTATCTAACACGAAAGATAGGTTTTGAAGCTGTTATGAGAATACGTTGCACACGTGGCCTTAGTATTCACACCTTCCATGGCAATTTCTTTGTACGTTCTACTGATTTATTAAGTTTGCCGAATGTAAATCCTGATGCTGGATTTGCAATGCAAATTTCGATCGAAGAGAGTCTAGCAGAAACACAAAATGTATGTTTTCAAGCAGCATTATTGTATACATCAAGTAAAGGTAAAAAAATGGATATTTATATTTTTTTAAAATTCGTCTACGTGTATAATTCATAAAATATTTTAGGTGAAAGAAGAATTCGAGTGCATACATTATGTTTACCAGTGGTTGCTACTTTAAATGAAGTCCTTCATTCGGCAGATCAACAATGTATAATAGGATTATTATCTAAAATGGGTATGGGAAACTAATTATCATTTTATGATAAATTTAATTGTAAGAAATCTTATTTATTATATATATTGCATATAACAGCCGTAGATAGATCTCAACAGTCTTCATTATCAGATGCAAGGGATGCATTGATAAACGTAGCGATTGATTCTCTGTCTGCTTTCAAATTGTCCCAATCTACAGGATCGACTGGACTTGTGGCACCAACCAGTCTCAAGTTATTACCTTTATACATTATTGCTTTGCTCAAATACGTAAGTAATTGTTATTTTAATTGAGATTATTTTTCTTATAGATCAGGTATTAATTATATTATTATTATTATTATTATTATCATTATTAAGGAATTGAATTTTGTTTGGACAGATTGCTTTTAGATCAGGTACAAGTACGAGATTGGACGATCGAGTATTTGCCATGTGCCAGTTAAAAACTTTACCACTTTTACAACTTATACAAATGATATATCCAGATCTTTATCCTATACATGTGCTTGACGATAAAAATTCAGTGGATATAGATGGAAAAGTTTGCCCACAACCACCTAGATTACATTTATCTGCTGAGAAAATAGATTCAAGAGGTGCATTCCTCATGGATGCCGGCGATAAAATATTAATATACGTGGGGAAAAATGTACATCCGATGTTTTGTTGTAATGTACTTGGTGTTTCAGCATTTTCCGCTATACCAGAAGAATTTGTAAGATTTTTTTTATAAAAAAATTGGCTATTATATATAGATCTTAAAAATTTTTTACATGTTATTTATAATTTATTTATAATTTACTTATAGTATGAATTACCGGAACTTGACACTGTAGAGAACGAGAGACTTCGCCATTTTGTATTTAGTCTGCAAGAAGAGAAACCATATTATGCATCCGTGCAAATTATTCGGTAATGCATTTATTACTTTTTTTCCATTTATCTAATAATATAATAATAGTTACTTTATCAATATATTTGTATTTAATTTTTTAGAGATGACAGTCATTTCAGGACATTATTTGTAGAACAGTTAATTGAGGACAGATTCGAATCAGCCCTTAGTTATTATGAATTCTTGCAGCATTTAAAAACTCAAGTGAAGTAGTGGACAATTTGAATAATAAGTGAATATAAAAAAGTTATGTTAAATAATTTGAATTTCTTCATAAATGTATTATGAAAGAATCGCGAAAATATTGTTATTGACACAGTGAAAGTGCTAATCATAAGCGGCGACTGTGCTCAGGAACAGGATGTGATCTCCCTATCAAGCATCACCTACATTTTTCATTCAGATAGCACGGTAACGCGTAAGTGTTCCAGTTTGCTGTTGCATAATAAACAGACGATAATTGTAAACGACATGTCATACGAAAAAGTAACCATAGCCTTCTTCAGAAAAAAACACGTTGACGCATTTAAATGTAATAGATTATAATAATTATTATTATCCATATTCTTATAATGTATCAATATCATAGATCCAAATATCATGTATGTCACGTAAATTTATGTTATATCGGATACCTAGTACGTCTTACGCATTGCTTTTTCCATTTTTATTTTCTCTCTTTCTCTCTCTTTCTCTTCATATATTATATAAGTATTTTAATGCAATAACTAAATATTTTCTTCTGAATTTTGCAGATTGATTTTTTTTGCTATATACATGCTTTAATGGAAGATCTTAATTCAATACTGTTGTTATTAATTTTTAAGGGACACCTCTTTTTCAGCCATGTGTTTTTATCTTATATGATTGGATTGTTAATTCATTATTTTGGCATGGCAATTTATATGTATAGCGAAGTAGAGAAATTTATGTATAAGTTTTACTATAATTCCATTAGGTTTATTTATCGAGATTTTTGTGAATTTATGGGTATTCGTATCTTATTATTTTAACCTTATGTTTATAATGACATCTTAAAGTTATACATAACATTTTTCACATTATATACTCATTGTTTGCATTAATAATTAAAATTTGGATGAAAACAAAGAACGTAAAGTTATTATGAAAAGAAAATTGCGTTTTTTTAAAAATGTAATACGTTCATACGAAAATGTAAAATATTATTACAAGATAATCGTTATACATGGTTAAATAATTAATACGAGTGTCTTGCATATGAAATGGAAATCAATGCAATTTAAAAGAAAAGTATAGGTTTATTAGGTGCTCAAATAGAATTATAAATAATGTCTATGTAAAATACTGCAGGTAGTTGAAAATTCCATTGAACAGCCAATTTATTCTAGTGCAGACAATTTCAGAAATATATATAAAGAGCAATATATTTGGGATTTGATATTTATGACACTTCATTTCTCTCCTGTAATCGATGCTGCCAAATAAAAACTTTTCCATGTATACATAGAAGAAAAAATTCATTTTTTTCGGGAGAATTGTAGTGAAATAAATATCAATTGTTATATGCACTTCCTCGAAGGGCAAGCTAAATGTCCCATGGTGTGCTCAAAGTTCAATCGTTATAACTCGTGCAATGGCCTCAAACGACAATGGTCCACGGTAGCCTGACACAGACCATTCATTTTGTGTGTATTTGATTTATAGGTTATTATCGAATATTGATTATTATTAAGCTATAAAAAATTATATGTATATATATAAATATATATATAAATATAAATTACACATACGGGATGAATGAGTATACATATATATATATATAAAGTTTAATTTCACCTAAACCAATTATTTATATTCACGTTTTATTTCCTTTAATTTATTTTGCTGATGTTTTTTTAAACAATAAGTAAACAAAATTAAAGAAATTTATATCCATAAACGTCTTATTAAACATACGAATAAACATTGGTATGTTTAATAATTTTCATATTCTTATAAATTATATTAATTGATAAATTTTAAACAATCAACATGTAAATATCTTGTAATTTTATTTAGAACCTGTTGTCTATATGTTTATTTGTTTTCTTGTTTAATTTTGCCTCCAATATGCGCGCTACAGCGCATTGATAGTTGCGCATAGGTGGCAGCACCAGTGACGTCAGTGCTACGGCGCGTACGCGGTTTGATTTTGTTATCAGTAGTGGTGCCGTAGTCGGTGAGAGGAGGCGCGATCGTTTATTATAACACTTATTCAACGGATCCGGTAAGTTTTGTTTTGACCACGAGTATTTAATATTTACATATATACATTGTATTTAATGTAATCATTTTTACAGGAAATGTTTCTAATTTTTTCATCGTTCATACATTTGTTATCTCTTTTTGTTTCCATTTAAGAATGAATAGTATTAAAACATTATTCGCATACCATACACACATACATGTAATTTTTTGTTGAATACATACGTGCTTTGGATAGAATTATTTACAGATAAATGAACATATCAATTTTTTGATAAAAAGAAATAGCAATTAATGAAAGTTGACAATCATCACGTATATAAAGGTACAAACGAATTTCTAAGTAATAAGTAAGTTTAATTTTTCGTCGATCGATTATACTCCTTTTTTTCATTTATGTATTTTTTTTTATCTATGCACATTTTTTTTATAAATTCTTTTCATATGATATATAAATACACGCTTTCAAGTGTATATATATATATATATATATAAATATTCATGCAAGTAATTTGTTTACTTTATATCCGTTTTCGTGCGTTCCTTGCTTGCGTTTTATTGCACTTTTGCTGCTATATAAAGCGTACGAGAAATAAACGTTGGTTTAAACATGTATGTGTGTATTTGTATACGAGTATGTGTGTTTTGCATTTAGTTCATTCACCCGGCAATTAAAGACAGCTACAGGGCGCAATATAATATATAATGACGGTTAATCAAAATGACGTGTAAGTTCTTCCGTAGTACGATTAAGACAACTCGCGTTTCCGATATATAAATATTCGAGTAAATCATTCATTGATGACCCTAAGTACCAGGATAATATATACCACATATTTTTGATACAGTAATTGGTTTATTTATATTTTTTATTTTTTTTTTTTTTATTTAACGAATAAATATTTAACTAATTGTAAGTAAATTTATATATAGATAAGTAACTATGAATATAGTAGACGAAAATATGTACTATAATCCTAATAATTATTGATGTAAGTTCTAATGCACACATACTGAATACTTATCACCTAAAAGTTACTTAACGGATACGATAGTAGACATACATATATTATCGATGCAAGCTTTGCCGAAGTGGAAACTTCTATTGTTATCTTCGATTAATGGTTTTAGGTACATATATATATGTACCTTTATATATGTACTTAATAAAGTAGGATACATGTGTGGATTTCTTATAAAATACGATCTCTATAATACTCGTTGTGAAATGGCGAATCACCTACTTCGTACTCTCAATTAGAATTTGGTGCGTTCCCTTCTCAATTCTTTTTATTAAACTCCTTAATGACTTTCCCGCAGCTCTTCGTTTATTCTTCGTTCTTCTTATACTTCTTCATTTTATCTCTCTCTCTTTCTCCCTTTCTTATATATATCTCTTATCCATCATTCACTCATTCTCCTTTCTATCTTTTTTTATTTCTCACTCCCCTCTCTTTATATATTTATCTCTCTTTCTCTCTCTCTCTCTCTCTATATATATATATATATATACACTTATAGTATATAGTATACACTTATATATATATATATATATATTTTATCCATCATTTACTCATTCTCTTTCTCACTCTCTGACAAGCAATGAACACAGAAAGGAATTCTCAGCTATGCTAATTAGTGACTAAAGTTCCTCGATTATAGTCGACAATAAGTCTTACGAGTTAGTAGATTCTGTTTTAGTACTTGAGCGTGTATCATTAAGAAAATACGCGAACGTTTTGTATTTTACTATCGATATATATATATATATATATACGTACACACACACACATACACACAACGTACATTTTACTTAGGAGATGAAGAAAATCGGCGGAATTCCTAAACGCATTTTATCCGCAATTTGCGCGTGTCTCGCGATATCGACCGAATCGATTAGCGGAACAAAGAAATGTCCTGACCGAGGCTGCACGTAATATGTTCGTATCTATGTATGTATATGTGTTTATGATATATGTGTTCGTGGATACATCAAATATATCGAACGGTCCTATTTTACGATAGTAACATGATCCTTTTGCTTGCTAGAAGAATCACCGATCGCATTCACGTATCCTTTTTTAAATTACCGCAAACATTTTACACGTTCGTAATCGTATTCCGATTTTTTTTCCTTTTTTGTTTTTCCATTTGTAATCTAAAATCAATCAATTGCCCTTTTTTTCTCTTTTTTTTTTTTAACATTATATACCCAAGTTTTTTTTACAAATATTTAACACTAGATATATCACCATTTTCAGTATACCTATTTCTATCACACTAATCACAATGACTGGTGAATAAAAAAAAAGCTTTTTGAGGCTTTCAGTCTTTATTTACTCTTAAAAAATAACAAAAAATGTTTAACAATAATAATTTTAATAGATAAATAGATTTATAGACATTTTTAAATAACAAAACGCTTAATTATTTACAGAAATCAAATGTTACATGAGGTAGCGATTTTGAATTAAAATGGCCCGACCAGTCAAAATGACTGGTTTGGTATATCTAGTGTTAAATATATGAACGATCAAATGAATATAATAATAATTGTTGTAAAATATACATCGTAAAGATACGATGAGTCAAACGATAAGCGACATTTTAATTAGTACTATTAATTAGTCAATTGATATTATCTATAAACTAAATAGAAAAGGGTTTGAGCATATTGTGTGTATGTGTGTGTGTTTATGTGTTCGAGAGAGAGAGAGAGAGAGAGAGAGAGAGAGAGAGAGTCAAGGGCATACTTTAGTACGTTTAGCTCTTCGTCATTTCATCCAATTTTATATATAACGGGGGTAGAAATAAAAGAAAATGACTCACATCAGTTGGTAAAGAAATCGATGAATTCTGACGTCCTAGACATTGTTTTTATTTTTTTTATTTTTTTCGTTTTTCGTCTCATTTTTTTCTTAATTTTTCACGATCATTATCGTACGTTAAAGATTTTTCCATCATTAGTCACTCGTTCGCAATGGCGCATCATTCTGTTTTGCATTATATCCGACTCGCGAGATACCTTTACTTTCTTCCCTTTATTTTTGCCTTTTTTTTGTCTTCTTTTCTTTCTCGTGTAAAAGAATTTCATCTTGGCTCCTTGAAAAATGAAGAACCCACTTTTAGAGTTCCCCCGTTTTCTACACCAAACCCTACCCTAGACGATTTACTTTCTTTCCCTCTTTTTTCTTTCTTTTCCTTTTTCTAGTCTCGTCGGAGAATAGAAAAATTTATTTAAACTTTGAATTTTCGAATGTAGTAATTTCGACTTTTCTTCTTTTATCTCTCTCTTTTCTTTTTCACCCCTTTTGTTTTTTAGTCCTAGCAGAATTTTTATTCGCGAATTAATTGAGCTTGAAAAAAATGTTCACATTAATGGCTAGTTACATTTAAATGAGATTTAATGAATAGTTAAAGGGCAGCTGAGTACTTATTACATTTTTTTTCTCTTCTTCTTATTCTTTCTTTTTTTTTCTTCAAAGTGTCAATCTAAAAGTTCGTTTAAACTTTGTACGAACGTAAATGAATCCTACGACGACGATGGTTGATCGATACGAAGACTCTTCTTTTCTGTTGAGAGCTACATGAATAATTTATTCATATAGGCCGAATTTGCATCGTTTCCTTCGGATACTGATAATACATTTTTTACAAGGATATCAATTATTTAACATAGAATACGAGTTCAATTCGTATATGTAATAGTAATAGTAGTTTTGGATATAAACGTGTGAGAGTTTGTGGATGTTAGTTTCATCTCGAAATTTTCCATTTCTTAAATTAACCAATGCACTTCGGAATTCTTAAATAAGTGGATCGCATCCACCTAATTAGCTACAATTTTAATGAACTTATATTTACGATCTAATTAAAAATTTACCTAATTATATGCGCTCGAGTAGAAAATTGTAACCTTATTTTTATCGAATATTCGTTTCCTATTTACCATTCCAACGTTCGTTGATATTTCAAAAACTTTTCGATCATGTTTCAGCTAAATAAAAATAAAATTGTTCAAAAAATATGATTTCGTTTTTTTTTTAAACATAAACTTCAAAATGATTTTGCATTTTAATAACAAACACTTCAAACCTCTTTATGTTTCGTTCAATAAAGTAGGTTTCTTTTTTTTTTAAACTTAATCACTCGCGATCATTTAAAATGCCATAGATTTT